AGGAATGCCATTATAGCCATAAAAATTATCCTTTGTTCGTGAGGCCATAGCTCTTGCCTTTCTGTCATGTTTCAGTTCAATACGTTTAGCCAAGAGTTCTTCTTTCTTTCTTCTTTCTTCCAGTGCTGTAAAAGAAAACCAGGAGAAAGTTACGCAAAAGCACTACTTTTATTTAAATTTCTTCCAAATTGATAAACCAGTTAGGACAGTAGTTTAATGATATCTGGCTAACAGCTGTTCAAAACAGACCTGAAAGTGATAGGATGCCTGCCAACAGGGCAAGCTAACCCATCTGAATCAGCTACTCCAAGAAACAAAGGCAAACAATTAAGTCAAATGCTTATTGCAAAACACTATTCAACTGAAGTAGCTCTCCAGAATGCTATGCAAACTAAGGAGAACTGTGTGAGGCACAGGACTGATAGAATCTCTGGGTAATGGAAGGAGTTCTGAGACTGAACAAGAGAATTTTGAGACTGCACAGAGTTTACTATCAAATGTTTAAGGGAAGACGAAGAAACAGAGGAAATCAAAGAATATTGGGGGGATAAGAATTGGAAAACAGGATGAGCATGTGTGTAGAGGGGTGTGGGGGAATGACAACCAGCTAGCCACAGATACACAGGGTGGTCGCTACATGTGGCTGGTAGAGCCCTATGCCCTATCTCTAGTCTGTTCTGTATTCCTACAGAACCCTTTTAAGCTATTCAGAAGTATGCTCTCTATCATCCTGAGTGTGTGATCTGCTGACAAAATTTAGGCTGAACCAGCTGGTGAATAGGATGAGAGGTCTGAATGCCAGATATTGGAGAGACCAAGGGAGTGGGGGCTAAATACCAGAATCAGAAAAAGCACCAATTCCTAGGAAATGGACTGGGCTACTCATGCTATGAGTGCCTATAAAGGTAACATCCCCTGCCTATGTTATTTTATTGTCAAGGGCTGTGACTGTACAGAGTGGGTGTACAAGCATGCCTATGCAGAATTCATGCCAGTCTTGCTTTTAGCTGGACCTGGCAGCAGGGGTAAGAAGCAGGCTCACAAATGGCCCAGGAGAGTGGGAATACCCTGGGCCATCCAGTCCAGATATAGTTACCTTTAACAAAATATTAACATCAGAAGCAATGTAGCATTAGTTTATTCTACAGACTATTTAAAGAAAATTTACAGTGGAAAAACTCTGCCATTTAAACTTTCACACTGTATTGATACACTAGAATAAGACACAACAGGAACTTTTACTGTTTTCTCACACAGATAAAGCTTTTCAAAGTTAAGTAAGCAAAAGTCCAGATAGTTTCTTGCAACCCTCTTCACCTTGACTATTTTTCCATCTCCAACAGTAAATGCAAGTGTAGCTGATTAAAATTTAACTTCTTAGGAAAGTATGCAAACATCCCAAGTTCTTTCTCAGTTCAAGCTTTCCCCCAGCTTCAGCTATGTGCATAAATTCTGGAAACAGACGTATAGCTTGAATAAAGTGATAAAGTCTCAAAGACTGAATGAAAGTCCCCTACAGGAAACATTACCTTTTTTTCTTTTTTCTTCTTCTTGCCGCCTGAGAAATGCTTGCACTGCTGCAGACTCTACACCCTTGACTTTTGGAACCTTTTTGGGAGGACCAACAGCCAAACTGTACCTTTTCTGCAAAGAACAAATAAATACATCAGAAAAGTTACAAAACATAAAAATTTTAGTTTTCAAAATTGAGGAATTGTGTAATAGTCTGACAGATGCCCTTGACCCCTTCACCAGACTAGCAGTAGTTTGGTACAGGCTCCAAAGGACATAAATACCTAAATCATGTCCAGGCCATGAACCACCCTGGTTTCAATCTGTTCTCTGAAAACCCACCAAGGAACAGTGTGACACAGTGAACATTGATGCATATGAGCTTGGATCACCAATCATGCATCAGTACATCAATAGCAGGTGGCTTTTCCAAGACTCATTTA